GATGGATGGATGGATGATAGAGAAAGAGATGATTGAGACCTGATTGGCTGGATCTTCTTTGGTTGCCCTGCACAGAGAACAGAGCTGGAAAGCAGGTTAGTGGGGTGGGGAGGGAAGGGGGATTTTGCAGTATATCCTTCCCCTGCCACGCCCACCCAGCCACGCCCACAGAACCGGTAGTAAAAAAAGTTTGAATCCCACCACTGGGATGCCTCCCTCTGCCCCCTCTGGCTTGGCTACCCCTTTTGAGGGTCCTGCCTTGCCCGCCTAACCCACCCCGTTCTTCCTCCCCTCCAGATCTTAGGGGCCCGGCACCTGCCCAAAAATGGCCGCAGCATCGTTTGCCCGTTTGTGGAGGTGGAGGTGTGCGGCTCGGAATTCGACAACAGCAAAAACAAGACAGATGTCGTAGGTAGGAAACCGGGAAATGGCCCGGCGTCTTGTGGGTCGGTCCGAACGCAACCAACGCTTCCAAGACCCCGGGGACGCGTCTGAGCCGAGTTTGGAGAGGGAGGCTTACGTTGCCTCTGAACCTTCTCTTTCACGGAGCCACACCTTGCCCAGGTGCCCCAGGTTATCGCCTGGAGACACCTCGATCCACTGAGCCAATTCAGAAACGCGGAAGGTCCCCCAGGCTGGGACAGACAGATGAGTCCTATTTCGGGGTGGGCTGCTCTGGGTTCGCAAATTAACGTGGTTTTTATTTATTTTTATTTTTTATTTTTATTTTTTGGTCCTTTCCACTCAGCCGACAACGGCCTCAACCCCCTCTGGCTACACAAGCAGTTTATCTTCGACATCAACAACCCGCAGTTTGCCTTTCTCCGCTTCGTGGTTTATGAGGAAGACATGTTCAGTGACCCCAACTTCTTGGCCCAGGCTACCTTCCCCGTCAAAAGCCTCAAAACAGGTACCTGGCTTGGCCCCTCCCATTCCCCCGTCCCACCCCCCGCGAAATTCGCCTGTTCCCCCCCCCCCAGTATGTGAGCGGTGGGTTCCAGGGGCTTGGGATTCAAAGATTTTTACCCACCAGTTCGGTGGGGGTGGCTTGCCCCACACTTTGCATGTGTGTGCCAAACACGCTGTCGGGGCTCCGAAAAATCCACCCTCGTTCAAATCCTGAGTCTCTAGCCCCCATGTTGGTGAACCTGTGGAACGCATGTCAGAAGTAGCGCACGGAGCTATTCCCCGCCCCCCCACCCCAGCACGCGAGAGGTCGCCTGGAAGAGCCCCACTGCGCATGCACACTGCCGCCAGACAGCTGATTGTCGGGTATCTGGCGCCCAGGCGCAGGGGGCGGGGGGTGCAGGGGAGACGCATGCGCAGAAATGCGCCGTGTTCTGTATTTTGTGCAGTGGTAGATGTTGTCTTCTGTACAGATGCAGATAGATAAAGTCAACAAAACATCCATGCAAAGTCTTTATTATTGGTTCATCAGGCATCCTCATAACTCACATTTGTAACAAAGTTCTTCTTAATGTTCAATCCTTTGCATAGCTGTCTTGTGGGTAAAAAGATGGTTATCTCCTTATATTCCTTATTCCTCCCACCTCGTAGCGGTGAGTTCAGGCAAGCTTGAAGAAACCTCCCCCGACCCATCGAGGGTCCATTGAGTGACCAATCAGGACTACAGATGTGGTCACGTGACAGGGACTACATTTCCTAGGATACCTGAACTACATTTACCATGATGCATTCCCTTAAGGGGACAGCTCCCAATTGCCAACTGACTCTCCAATTCCCATACACAGGCTGGACAGCACGCGCAGCGCTTGCAGGGGTGTCTCGCACACATGCGCAGAGGCGGATGGCGTGCGAGGGGGGATCGCGCATGAGTGGCGGCACATGATTATTGGCAGGGGAGCCAAAAAAGGTTAGCCACCACTGCTGCAGACGCATCTCAGAGTAAAAAAAAAATAAAGAAAAGGATTTACTAGGAGCGAACATGCCGGTGCTGCCTGGGTGCAGCCGACTCTGAGACACATCATTCATTTCCCCCTTGAGCTTGGTCTTCCCCCCACGCACCCCCGTGGATGTATATTCTCCAATGGGACCCATCCGTAGCCAAGAGTCATCAATCATGCTCTCCAATTAAGATTTTTGCCGGCAGAAGCTCCAGTCATCTAATCAGTCTCTGAAGAAAATATGAATGGAATGGACTTTCGATTCCACACTGCCGCCTTCTCTTTGAAACTCCATCCCCCCTTCTTTCTGTTGACAGCTATAAAACGTATATACAAAATGTTTTAGGAGTTGACACTGGCAACATCAGTCATACAATGGGGCAAAATTCCCTTAACGAACGTCTCGCTTAGCAACAGAAATTTGTGGGTAGTCCTCGGTCTACAGATAGTCTTTGAGGACTACCTGGAGATCATTTGCTTGGCTTTGGGAGTTTATCGTCCACCTTTGTCCACAGGCTACCGGTCGGTGCCGTTGAAGAAC